ACAAGAGTATAATCGTTATGTAAAATTCTGTAAGCACGATTTCGGAGAAATTTCTTACTTATCGGAGGTAAATGTCAGTTCTCTTAGAGACTCCGTGTATTTGCTTTTTCTGTTGCTCAAACAGCGGCTACTGTAGTTTAGTTTTGATGCTGCTAATAAAATATATCGTGGTTAGTTGCGAAATGCCCAGCTGCGGGTTTCCCGCAAAGCGAGTTTAGGGTTGCCAGAAAGTAGCAAGGAAACGCACGTTTGCCAGACTTGGAGCGAAGTAATTCCCATCTGGCGACAAAATTGGCGATAAACGGAGCGAGAACATTCAAGAACCAAATCTTAACGCTTTACCCCAGAATGTTCTCGAAGATAAGTCAAAAGCTATATAAACCCTGCTCGTACGGGAGTAGCAGTCTATCGCGAGTTTTATTGCGAAGAGCATCGAGTGTGTTAAACTCCGAGAGCGATCGACCGAGTCGGGAGCTGTATTTAGTGTTCTGCCGTGAAGCTGCCTTCGCCGTTACAGTGTGATAACCCGAAGGCTGTGTTGCTGATTATTTCAGCGTGGTTATCTTAGTTTTTCGACGATTGTAAACGTGTTTTTGGAACCGAGTAATACTACCTAATAAATTTTGTTTTGATTCTTCATCATATGTTGTCAAACACTCCAATTTCACGAACCTGTAGAACGCAACAACATAGTTTTTTTTTATTCCCACTTCCCAATGGCGGGCATTAGCTATTATTAGGCTTTGCCACTGCTAAGGCCGGAAGCGGTGGTCACTTTATTATGAAGGCAACGGTGGCCCACCTATGAAGGATCAATTGAGATCGGGTGTCTTTTCCAGGATTCAAACCCGAGCCCTTTGGTACCACAGTCAAACTCAATAACCACTTTCTCGTCTGAGCGGCAAATGTGGAAAACTTTATATATATTTTAAATTCTAGGTTTTGAAGATACAAATTGGAAGCAGGAATAAAATTTTTAATTTCACAAGATTTCTTCCCTCGCCCCTAGAATTTGACTCTGGACCGTTGTCTTCCATTATCATTGGCGAATAATAATGTTTAGTAAACCTTCGATTTGCGAACTAACATAATTTGATTAGTCTCTAATTGCTCGTGTGACATGTAGCTCATGTCACGTGAATGATGGTTTCACGTTTTGTAGGTGTGCTAGTATACTTCATTATATTAGTCATGACTAAAGCAATGCAATTAAGTTGTTTTTCCTCTGCAGTTTTATTATTAAAGATTGTAATAAAATCAGGAGAAGTTTTTAGTTGCTTCTCTTTATCTGTCCACTTTCCTAAAGTGAGAAAAAAATGGATCCTGGCTCAAAATCTATAAGTTTATATTTTACACAAGATGTAATAAACCATGAAACCGAAACTTACAGAAAGATACAATGCATTTTTTTTTTTTTTTTTTCAAAATAACATTAAACGAATATATATATAGTAAATAATTACGTTATTTTACAAAATGCTTCGTATAATTCGAGTGATGTTTCACCGAGCATCCAATTCTGTAAATCCGACCCTGCTGCTTCTGCGTAAACGTAATTATCAACCAAAAAAAGTAGCCGGCGTGTAAACAGCATCTTATAACTATTTAATCAACTTTTACTATAAGACAGTTTTATAATTTAACATTATTTGTTAAGTTTTATCCAGCTTTAAATCAATATGCTGGAACTTATTGTAACATGGCATTAGATTTAGACAAACCGGTAAAGCTTGAAAAAAAAAAAAAAAGCGTGTGGTTTCGTAAATCGCTCGAACATTCCTTTCAACTTTTACGCCATGAACGAAGAGTTGTTTTTGCTGAACCTGAAGGTCGAATTTTAATAAGACAGCTTGCCGCAAGTGGTCCAATAGAATGAGCTTCTGTCTGACCTTGACACACGCTCGCCTTTTCCTGATAAATTGTCGAAAATAAAAGTATCCCGCTGAAAGAGTTTTTAGATAGTTTCTTTCGCTTTACGCCATATGCTTGCTCTACGCTTGACCAGTCTCTTTAAAGATTATAGCAACAACTAAGATTGCGGCTGTACAAATATCTGCATAATCTTAGCGGTTTAATAATGAAGACAGCCATTTTTTCTACTGCTGTGAATTTTATGGTGATGTTTATTAAATTCAGTATAGAAATGTCTACTCATGGAGAGGGGTCTGAATCCAAGGTCTAGGCTTCTCAAAGGGCTTTGTTCCCTAAATAATTGAAATTTTTTATTAAGTAATGCCTGTTTAATCGATAAAGCCCACGAGGGCTATTCGCCAAGGAATGTCTTCGTGGGGAAACTGGAGTCTGTTCACACTGCGCTCTACCATGAGCCGAATAGTTAAGATCGGTGAATACAGGTAGTTTGACCTCTTTTGGGTTCGATCTCGGGCAAACGGACTGGCTGCATGGTTGGATTACATGATTTTTCCCGTGTATAACGTGAATACGAGCCAGTTTCCATCAGAAAGGAGCTAGCCCTTCTTTTCAACACGATAGCCCTCGTGGCTTTGCCATGTCCAAATAATCTAACCTATATATTCAGTTTATACGGGAGGGGGGAACCACGAAAACACTGAAGCAGCCAACATATTCCTCGAGATTCGGATTCAAGTTGAACTGCCATGAATATTATATTTCTTGGGTTTCATAAATACTATTATAAAGTCATTCATATTTCAGTTGGGAGACCGTAGTTATCGTTTTCAAAATCCATAGAACACTTGAATTGATGGGAATGATCATCAATGTAGATTATAATCAAAGATAATTTAGCAGCACAAAATATTTTATTAACGAAACTCAACATATCTATATAATTTCCGCGTATAGCAGCTGCCATGAAAAGCTGCCAATTGTTTTATACATACTCAATCTAAGTTAAAGTTTTAAGTTCTACAACATCAAGTTATTTTTACTTTTCTCGGTGCGCGGCGAGAGCGCCACCTATATGCCAAGGGCGTAACAAGTACATTTATATAATAAAATATTTCTCAGATTCCCGATTCCAATGGAAAACGCATTTAAGAAAAGAATATCGTTCGTGAAAGCAATAGTTGGATATGACAACGAATGCGAGGGCTAAGTACTTATGCCTTTATCTTGCAACGGAAGTAAACTGTTAGATATTAACAAAAACAATACATTTATTAATGAAATGCACAGATATCGAAACGCTGGGCATATCTAAATGTCTTATCAATTAAATGCAAGTTGTCATTATTAAATAATCTGTCTTTAAGATGGTGCTGTATGAATACTAAGGACAGCATACATACCAGTCTAGCAGTCATATAATGTCTTTATTGGAGCTCTGTTTCGTTTGCTAGGGAAACGCTTTCCCAAAAGCAACGAATTTCTATTATTCAACTGTATTTCACCAATCGTTTGTGTGCCCATGTTGTCGAAGAGATCTGTCAGAAATTTCCAAATGCAGTAATGTCTAATAAGTTGATTAGGCTAATCAGCCGTTTTTGGGGAATGTTTAATACTAGACAGAGATCTGAAAGACCAGCCGTTTTGATAGGTTGACTGGCAGAAGTTGAATGATGCAAAGTCAGGCCTTCAGAAGGCCTGAGGAGACTGCAGTCGACGATTTCAGAAAGCAATGAAGTCACATCTTAGTGTTCGCTGTGCGCAGGAACTTGAGGAATGCGTTGAACAGACATTCTTAAAATATAGATCGCTCCGGTCATTTGGTGATAGCTGTAGTATCACGAAGCTTGATTCCTCAGTAGCTGCATAAACAGTTCACAGTAGGATTTTGAAATCAGAAAATAAATTACATAAAAAATCATTCATGGTACATGTCATTACATTAATTTTGGTGGTACAAAGTTAAATATATGTTCAAAGTGAATGTGAAATGGCTTAATTTTTATAATTCTGCTTTAATCTTTAATCCAGATGCAAATGTATACCGTTTAGAGTACCTTCTCCTCCCTTAAATTGCGCCTCTCACATTAATATTGGCGACATGCTAGTTATTAGCTTATGACGGTACGTACATTTGGGATTATTGTTTATGTGGTATAAAATTTTAAGTTGCAGAACCTTACACTACAGGACCTAAAGAGGAATGTTAGACAACCGTACAGGTGCTCCATAAAGTAGCCTCGAACATATGGTAAAAAGAGCAAGTGAGAAAACATTACAGAACAGATGTCATTTTGAGCATATGTTGTAAAGTTATAGTCTGGTGTAGTACTGATGATTAAAGTGTTAGTACCAAACATTAACAAGAGTCCTAAAAAAGTGTTGCTTTATGCTACTATTTATAGCAGCACGCACTTAGATTCGCTCGAGATTTTTCCTTAAACTGGTGATATGGAAGAGCCGATTCGCATTATCTATCGCCAGGATGGGGCACCAGCACTCTTTTCAACAACTGCAGTTTCCAAAATGATGGATTGGACAAACTGACACTTTCTTTAACTTCCCTGAAGCCTAACTGATTTCGCGTTTTAAGAACAATATGGAAATACTATTCAAAGTAACGAAGTTCAAATTCTTTATCTATTTAAATATGAAAATCATCGCAGCAATTGCAAGCAATAAATTCTGGATGTTCTATCTCGAGTATGGTGCAAAGAAGATTCGATGTGCATGGAGCGCGTATTGAATCTAAAAAGTACTACAGTATTTCCGTGTTAGCTTTCAGCTGTAATGAATGTATTTCAGAGGATTTTATTAACACAAATTAATAACACATGCATCGTACAACTAACAGTTGCATGAATGTTTTGGCCATATTCCTCGCATATAATGTTAATGAACAAATTTCCCTTAAAGTCCTCATCCTTTCCTTAGGAAGACAACTGTAGGGTGTTTTGCTGTAATAAACAAACAACAACAAAAGAAGTATTAAAATAATTGTTTATTGTAAACTAAGTTCTAACAGCTTTCTGTGCTTTTTAGAAACTTACGTATACTTCTGAATTTTTCTTAATAGCTGCAATGTAAGTTTTACAAAGTTATTTTCTGAATAATCTTTATTTTCATTTTAGCCTCGAAGACGACGAAAACTGAATGCTACCCACAAAAGTTTGATTATTTGGCACGTCATAGCTGCTTGTTACTACTTATGCAGTTCTTTTTGCACGGCTGAGACGGGAAGAGGAAATTTCGAACTAGTAGACTTAAGCCATGTGTTTGATAACACCACCATTTATTGGGTTACGGAAAAACCTCTCTTCCTGAATGTAACATTTAATGGGACAGTTCCAGGCAAAGGATACTGGTAAGCTTTAATAAATTTAATGTTTGATCCGAACAACTTGGAACAGAACCTTGCTTTCTTTGAACTTCGAAATGAAACTGGTATACGTGGATTTGATGCTCGAATAGAGGAGCTGTGCTATCTCATGGGCACAGACAAGTTCAGGTTAAAAAACAGAAGACACCCAATGTTTACCTTTGGTAATGTAGATATTGCCTATCTGCACAGTTTGTCTATAACGACATACGTATGGGTACAACCACAGAATCTCAAATATAGAGTTCTTATTTTGTCAAATGTGAAAGAAATTGTGTAGATAAAGACCCGCAGTCTCGTGATTCTTCTATGACGATCCAGTGGACTGATCTAAGTAAAATAGCCAGTGAATAGCCCCTAAACTGTATTCTTTACTGTCCAGGTGCTTTTAAAAGGAAAGTTTTCATTTCATAAATAACATTTTTCTTCTAATTACTCTTGTTATCTAAATTTCTGTAAAATCAACAAACAATTAATATTCATCTCGCATAAACTAAGTACAGCACAGACATAGTTCTTCAGACTGTAGATGGATTGGTTCTCTGGAAGTCGTATTTCCGAATAGGTTTTCTAAGATGTCGGACTAAAAGTAATGTGCTTTCATCAAAATGCACTGTCTAGCTTAATTTTGAGAAATATAATTAATTTGTAACTGAATATTGTCTTAAGTTTTTCACTTTTGCAATGAATGATACAGCTAGTGAGTGACCAGCGAGATAATATTTGCGTTACAAGAAGGAGAAAACTAAAACATCTGTGGCTGCCTGAATAGTGATAGATTAATAAAAGTTCTTAGAAATATTCTTACAAACCAAGCGAAAGTTCGGAAATGTTTAATTACAAGTTATTATAACAAACTGCAGTATTATGAAGACTCGTTAAGAATTTATAATAAAGAGAATGAAAAACATCTTTTAGTCTAATCGTCTCTCGCTCATAATAATCTGGTCTACAATGAATTTTCGGACATTACATTCTGCCAAATTATAAATCTTATTTTAAACTGAATAAAAAATTGAAAAGAACGAATTAAAAACATTAAATTAATATTAAGGTGAAATAATTTTATTGGTATTGAATTATGACATGTTCATGTTTAAAAACTTTTCTTAATACTTTCTGAAGCAATAATTGCTCATATAAAAATTAGGTTTTTCGCTAATTTTCAGTAATATATTTCCCTTCCTGCAGATTAATTTAATATCGCTCTACTCTTTCCCGGTAAGAATTTCGTATTTTTACTTAACAGTCAAAACATTCTTTAAGTGAATCAATCATTATTATTTAATTAATTTTTTCAATTCCCTCGATTCTTGAGTTGTGAAACTGGAATTCTGATTTGATAACACGATTGTAGAACATTTGATTGAGATTTTATCTATTTTTACTAAAATAAAAAGTATAAGTTTCGTTATTTAAGGTATTAATGAATGGTTTGTTTAATTAGAGAAGGTTTTCGAGGGCTAGCTGCCTAAGGGGAGTGATGCCTTTTGTCGAGGACTTTCCTAAGAGCTGGGTTATATACACGTTACACATGGGGAAAACGCCGATGCATCCAGCCCGTTTGCCTGGATTCGAACCCCGGTCCAAAGTGCCAATGTTCAAAGCTTTTATCCATCGGCCGCAAAAACTTAATAAAAGAAGCAAATAAAAACCCACGATTCTCGTGAGGTAGCTTTTGAACAAACTCTTTTCTATCTTGCAATTAAAAAAAATAAACAGACTTTTGCATTTACAAAATATTGGCTACGGAAGCTTCAATGACCTTAAAGCAGCGAGAATGTGTAGTAACTGAAGTTATTCAGTTAAAAAATTCATAAAAAGCAGAACTAAATGTAGTGAAACTGTACGTTAAGTTTTATTCGAAGTTAAACCTAGAAGGGTTAACGTTTAAAAAACTAACCTTTATTTCATCCTTTAAAAAACTCACTTTACTCATGAGAAATAGTCCCCAAAAGTTTTCTTAGTCAGTTTTTAAATTTTTAATAACGATTAAAGTAGTTTTTAAGAGTACTTCACAAAATATGCAAATTAAACTAGTTGAATCTTTTCCTAATACTGAGTTGATTTCTTACCTGCATTTACCTTTTACAGATGAACTCATCTTTCTTAGTAATAGCAAATTCCAATATGTAATAATTTTATGCTACCTGCTGAGGAGCAGTTGCACACATAGCAAGTGTAATTTTGATTTTGCCTGGCAGTAGGCTTGTCTGTTTTTAAATGTTATTTTTCTCTTTATCTTACATATTCGCTTTTGAAACCTTCAATGTTATACTACGCCCGATCAAATTGTTTCAAATCTGCATGTTTTCTGATTTTCATTATCTATAATTTTTGTTCCGTTTACCTAAAATTAAAAATTCGAATAACAAATTTAATGCAAATATTTACTGCCTCTGATTTGAAAGATTTTTTATTATTCGTGAATGGAAATTAATATAAAGAATAAAATAACTTTAAATGAGAACAAGAACTAATTAAGGTTTCCTTTACACCTTAGACCCCACCAGCGGCCGAGCGGTAAAGTCGCTGAACACTGGTAGTTCGGTCCGAGGTTCGAATCCCGCGAACGGGCTGGCTGCATGGGCGTTTTCGTGGTTTTCCCCATGTGTAACGTGTATACGAGCCAGTTTCCCTTAGAAAGTCCTCCACGAAGGCATCCCTCCCCTTAGGCAGATAGCCCTAGCGTGCTTTGCCAGAATTAAATACACACACACACACCTTTACACCTTAAATATACATCCCATGTATTCGTCACACCATATAAATCTAGAAACAACGATTTTCTAAAGTAATGTTCAGTATGTAATAGACAATATTCGGCATAAAATGTTGCAATAAAATCTGCATCGCACAAATTTTACTAAACCTGCTTAAAATAATTTCCCGCTACTACAGAATGTCAACATGTCTTCGATGACTGTTCGATCAGTCTAAAGACAAGCGTGGAAGTAGCTTTCTTCCAGCTTCTACATTACGGTACAGATTCTTTTTGGAGTTAATTAAGTGTGATGCTGTAGTTAAGCGATCAGGTTTATTCAAGCTCTTTTCGTCACAAACCAAGAAATGTGCGGTGTCATACGTAAGTCAAGTGTTATCAGGTCTGGTCTTCATAAAGGCCACCCAACATATCTTTAGCGACCTATTCAATACCCTGAAAACTGACTATTAATCCCTAAATGTTGCCCCCCCCCCGCGCCAGCGGTGAAAGCCGCTGAACGCTAGTAATAGGGGGACCGGAAAGTAATGTCGTTTCTGCGCATGTAGACAACAACATGCTAAGGGCAGAAGTGGAAGCAAATCCATGTCAAACACTCTTAACCAACCTTGGTCGACCATCCAAGAACATTTAAAGCAGAATGGAAAAATAAGCAAAGCAGGTGTTTGAGTCCCCCATAATCTGTTCGAAAAGAACAAAGACAACCTATCCATCACATGCAACGTATTGCTTCAACGGCACCATACAAAACCTTTTTTTGATCGTTTGATGAGTGGGACAAAAAAAATAAGTTCTATATGATAATCCAAAAGGCAGTTTTAATAGGGGTTACAAAGGGTTTACATCCCGAAAAGGCGCTTCTGGGTGTTTGATGGAGTATTCACGTAATTGTTCATTTTGAATTGCTGAAACCTGGACAAACTGTTAATGCAGACCTTTATTGTGAACAATTGGATGGAGCGAACAATCCTTAATCGAAAAATATCAATTGTCAACAGAAAAGGCGTCATTCTGCAACACGACAATGCAAGACCGCACTGTGCAAGACGAACACTGGAAAAAATTAATGAATTGGGGTGGGAGGTACTGCCATACTCACCCACCATACTCGGCCGATATTGCAGCATGGGATTTCCATTTATTCAGATCCCTACAACATTTTCTTAATGGCAAAAAATTTGAAAATTTGGGTGATGTCCAAAATGTCCTCTCGAGATATTTTATTCAAAAACCAATTGATTTTTATCGGTCCGGGAGTGAAAATCTGCACATTAGATAACGAAAGGTTGTTGATAACGAAGGTGATTATTATTGATTAAAAATAAAAACTTTTTAAAAATGTATTCGTTTGAATTTTATGTAAGAAAGCGACATTACTTTCCGGTCCCCCTATTACTTCGGTTTGTGATTTAGAGTCCAGACGAACGGGCTGGCTGCACGGGTGTTTTCATGGTTTTCCCCATGTGTAACGCGGATTCGAACCAGTTTCACTTTAAAAATCCTCAAAAGGTATCTCGTCCTATTTGTGAAGTTCCTAATGGCGGGGTACATAAATAATAAAAATCCTTAAATATTAAAGCGATATTCCTGAAATCAATGATTGCCAAGTAGCTTTGGCACCTTTGGTTTTATCAGAAATGTTTCCAGAATGACCAGAATTAAAATATAAGCTTACCAGCAGTTAATGCGGTCTGGAAGTTAAATTTAAAAATATTTCGAATTCAGAAATAGTTTAAAATGAGTACATATTTTGAACAGTTATAAAATCGAACAAATTAATAACAATTAAGTAGAACGGATAAGCCTTCTTTTTACGGCTTTTAAAATCATTATCAAACTGGACATAGTCTCCTGACTTCTGTTCCACGCTGATTTTCTTTGCATTTGCTTTTTATCATAAACGATTGCAAAAAACTCAAATTTCTAACAATATGATATAAATAGTTTGGGCTCTGAAAAGATTGAATCCATAGGAACTCGTCGGCATTATCTCTTTGGAAGTAATTTTTCAACTGATAGAGCGCTTTTGAGAAACAATGCATTGTAATGTGTCTGTTAGATGCCCTTATCTGCGCGAAGACTTTGATTCTGAAGCCACGTAGCCTAAATACGATTTCAATGAAAGTAGGACAGTATTTCGCATCGTCCCTATACAGCCATTTACAGAGTGCAAAAGCGCCTCGTGTATAGTTGTAGACTTTTATCACTACATATCGTAATTGCCCCATGGGGAAAAAACAATGTAATGCTGTTCGGGAAAAAACTAAAACGTTCCTATCCAGGGTATTAAATATATTGTGATTAATTAGCTTAAGAAATTTTTAAAAACCTCTGTATGCAGATCAACAAAATTAGAAGTGCATAATCTAATCCAACAGTATGTAGTTACGAGTATTACATTTATCGTTAATTTTTTAAGTTTCAAAATGTGGAATTTTCAGAGGTCTTTAAATTCGTGAACACATATTTTAAAAAGATTTGGATAAGCATTAACCCCTTAACTGCCGCGGGCGTATATATATACGCCTTGCTCAGCCGATGCGTTAACTGCCCCAGGCGTATATATACGTCCTTCCAAACTGCTATCATTTGCTTTGCGCTGCTACACCTAAAATTATTCGCAAAGTTAACGCATCGGCTGCGCATCTGGGGCAGTTAACGCATCGGCTGAGCAAGGCGTATATATACGCCCGCGGCAGTTAAGGGGTTAAGCTCCCTGTCATCTAAATTTTCTAATGACTCAACGCAATAACTAAATTTTAACGATTTATAATTGTAAAATTTGACGCCATTATACTTATGTAATTGCCCCATTAAAAAACATTAATTTTATTTTCTTCATTGCAAAAATGTAAAATCGAAGCGAAGTTAATCGAATAAAATTGTGGTTGAATTTATTACTGTGGTCAAAATGTTTTTATTACATATAAATATAATAGACAGCTTTAATTTAAAAAGTAATGAAGTGTAAAGTCTAAAATTCAGTCTTTTTTATCCTAGTATAATTATGTAATAATAAAATGGTCTCGAATAACGTGTTTAGAAATTCTTGAAGAGATAGGCAATCCAAAAACGTTTGGAGACCGTTTACCCCAATCCTTTCCTAATGTGCCTTTGAGTAGAATGCTCAAGTGTGGCAAAACATGCCATCTGTTGCTCTCCAGAAGTTTGGTAATGCAATTTAAAAATCTCACTTAAACAAAACTCACTTACGGATTCCATAGTTTATTTCAAAAGCTAGATAGATTGACTTAAATCATTGAGGGGGGTATATTAGAAGTAAATGCTTCAAGTAAAGCTCTGGAATAAATCTAAAACGTTTTTGTCTTGAGAAAAGCAAGAACATGGATAGGTAAACAAGGTTTGAAAGCTTTTGTAACGATACTTGGAATGCAAAAACATTATTAGAATGTGTAATATATACACATACGAAAAATTGTGTTCAATACCTAAGTTTTTTAAACTTAATCGATATAAAATCGGTTATAACTAGAGAGAAATAATGTTCTATGTATATTGATTTGTACTGGATTTAAAAGTTTCATGAACTCTGTATGTCTCCATTAGGTATCAAAAAGATGAAATATATGCTGCTACACATGGTGGAACACATCTAGATGCACCATGCCATTTTGCTGTTGGCCGTTGGTGCGTTTCAGATATACCATTGAAACGATTGGTGGTCCCTGCTGTTGTAATAGATATCAGTCACCATGTGAAAGAAGATCCAGACGTTCATTTGACTAAAGATCATCTAATAGAGTGGGAATCGAAACACGGGGAGATACCTGATGAAAGTGTGCTTTTTGTCAAGACTGGATGGTCTCGTTTCTGGCCGGATCCTGCTACATATAGTGGAACAACCGAACGCAATGCGTCACTACTGAAATTTCCATCCATAAAACCTGAAGCTGCAAAGTGGCTAATCGAGAATCGTAAAATAGTTGGTTTAGGAATCGACAGCATGTCAATGGATGTGCCAAACCAAGGAGTGCAGACCCATGTTACACTTAATGAAAAGAACATATATGGACTTGAAAATGTAAATAACTTAGATGCTTTGCCACCCAAAGGAGCTACTGCTTACGTTATGCCGATGAAACTAAAAGCGGCAAGTGGTGCCCCATGCAGAATTGTGGCACAGATTCCCCAAGATTTGTCAAATGGTGTAGCAACCATGACTTGTACATCAAACTGGATTTCAATCATGGTCTTAACTTTGCTTTTCGCATACTGGACGCAAAATCTGTTAAGACCGTAATTCAAATGACGAACTTTCTTGCGCAAAGAGTTTGCAATGTCGAACAGCAGTTGCTCAAATTTATCATATGTACAGATTCTACATAAACTCATCTTCATTGACATAGTGCTGAAGTGTTTTATATTATATTGGTAGAAGAATTTTGCAATATCTTGTTATTGAGAACATCAAAGATGTACTGCTAAATTGTCTGATAGTTTACAAATAATGTTGCAGAACGTTTACAAGATTTGTTGTATAGATTACTTTTATGCTGTAAAAAGCTTCTTTTAGCACATTTTTGAAATTTTTTTGATCTTGTTACATAAATTTTACATTCATGCTATTGTATGTATTGTTTTTTTAGTTTACTGACTCTAACAATATACATATCAGATTCTTTTATACGACCATTAAAAATTAAATTATTAATTAACCAAACAAATTATTACCAAACAAATTAAAACCAAACAAATTATCGTTTAGGATATTTATTTCTTCAGAGTTATTTATAATTGTTTAAATTTTTAAATGATCTATAATATATAAACATGATTCATCTTTATTTGGGATTATTATGTTAAAGCAGCCTGAAATACATTTAATCGGTTATTTAAAAGACTTTGATGTAAATAATGACAAAGATATTTTTAACAGTTAAACTTAGGTTTACCAGCAGACGAACCCCAATAGTTTTGCCTTACATTCAGCTCTCGGAGCAACTGGCTATCTGCATAATTTCACCCATGGTTTTCCTCGCGTGTACAAACTTCTTATCAGGTTTGCTTCTGATGATGATGTAGAGATGTAGCTAGGTTTTTCAGCGCTTGGAGAATACTGAATACTTCGGGTCCTTTCCTGTTTGGCAAGAATTTAAAACATTTCATTCTAAAATTTTGCAACATCGATTTGGAGCCCCCAGGATGCTGCGCTTGGGAACAGATGTTCCCCTTTAGCTACGCCACTGTCTTCATGCCCCAGCTTGCATACCATGCTGAAAATCACCGCGCCCATACTAAAGGCAAAAATAGATCCACTCCTCGTACTATAAGCATATTTTTGTTTAAACACCGGGTTAATAAAACAAAATAAGTTTGTCTCTGCCTAAATATTCATCTCAATTTTAGGAACTCCTCTTTTAAGGCACCCCTCACCTTAGGCAGATTACGCTCAAGTGCTTTGCCATAATCAATCAAACCTATTCATCTCGATAGATGGCATCACTAGCAACCAATAGTTGGCCTCATCCATTTAGACTTTACCACCACAAGCTGGAGAACAGGAAGACATACGACCTTTTCCTTAAAAGCATTATCATTTCATTGAGAAAAACCTGAAGTGATACGGACGTGAGGCGCACTACTTCGAAGATGTTCACCTTTATCTGTCAGCACATGCTTTCCACACCCAATTCGCGTATTTCTCGGCTCAACGTTGGCTAGTTACATGGACCTCCCAGCTTGATGGGGTTGAGCTCGCAACCATCGCTAACTAGCTCCGTTCGTACTTTCGAGAATTTATTGTACAGGTGCGAGGGTCGGCTATATACGTTTTCGCCCAGTGTTATTTCTTCCACACAATGCCTCTAATTTAGCTGTCCTTAAATTCTACCGCTTGGTATGGTAAAAGGTAGTAGTTCCACCTCTAGTTAGCCAGCCAGGACCAGAAGAGAATTGTAGCGGCGTGCTAAAGGCAGAAAAAAGATCAAGTTATTCTTTGAACTTTGAAGAACAAATGGCATATTTAGTTTTATATACTTTATTTGTACTTTCATACACAATACAGAACCAAAGAGACTTTACATCACAACAGAGTACTAGAGTATCTTTTTATTGCTACCATTCCATTTGGAAAACTTAACTGTTGCCATTCAATTTTTCATAAATAATTTCCGCTCAACATATTCCTATAATTTTCATTTATTAAATTCAAAAGTTAAATCAAATTAAGAGTTATTACAGATTTTCGTTTACACATTTCTATCAAAAATATTTACTACTTTATTAAATTTTTAATGCACTAAATAATCCCTAAATTTATCAAACTTAATTTCATCTGATCGTTTCATATAAACGGGCAATACTATTGTCAAAAGGTACAGAAACTATACTAATATTACCTTCCTTTTTTGATAAAAACTTATTTCAGTGTATTTACTTCTATAAAAAGTTCCGTACTTAAATTATTTTTTCTTTGATGATCAACGTTTAAATTAAGTACAAGTCTTATTAGTAATTTCTTAAGCATTTTTAAATGCAAAAGTTCCTTAACATAGTCTTCTGGTATGTACTCTATTTCCGCAGTCGACAAACCAACTACTGATTGTACGCACTCCAACTCCCAGGACTTTTTTCATATAGAATCGGCCCACCAGCGATCGAGCTGTAAAGTCGCTGAACACTGGTAGTTCGGTCCGAGATTCGAATCCCGCGAACGGGCTGATTGCATGGGTGTTTTCGTGGTTTCCCCATGTGTAACGTGCAGTGGGTACAAAAAGTATTTGCACACATACATTTTTGTTCACAATTTATAAGAAAATGCATTAAGAAATACAAAAATTGGCATTTAAAAAATAGAATAAGCTTATTCATTTAAATTAGTTACAAAAAATACAATAATATTAATAAAAAATTTTTGCAACAATATTAAAATAGCTTATGTCAAAAATATATTTGCACATTCAACTCAACTTTAGCAAATTTGCATTTTTATGCTATTATTTGACCGTCATCCCGCAGTAAATAACATACGTAAGACTACTATAAAAGGTGTTGTCGAAACGTTATCAGTTGATTGTCGATTTCAAATTGAAATGGCACCTAAGAAATCTGAATTGCCGATTTCGTTGCGAGAAAAAATTGTTTCTCTACGTGAAAAGTTATCGAGAAATAGGTAAAAAAGTAAATGTTTGCTTCTCTACTGTTCGGTATATTATAAAACGTCATAAAGAGGATCTACATCAAATAACTTGCGCTCTGGACGCCCAAAGAAACTTTCACTGCGAATAAAGCGAACAATCATAAGAGAAGCATCGAAAAATCCATTTGTTAGTGCAATTACTTTAGCCAATCATGTCGCTTCAACATCTGGAGTTCAAATCTGTGCCCAAAGTGTTCGAAATGTCCTGCACGATGCACACATTTATGGGAGATCTCCAAGGAAAAAAAAACCTCTCATAACTGAACGAAATAGACTGAAGAGACTTGAATTCGCTAAGGAATATATCAATAAGCCAATTGATTTCTGGAAAAATGTCATATTCTCCGACGAGAGTAAGTTCAATATCTTTAAATCAGATGGCAGGAAAATTAGTTTGGAGAAAACCTTGTACTGCTTTTCATACCAAAAATGTGTTACCTACAGTTAAACATGGAGGAGGTTCTGTTATGATTTGGGGGTGCATGGCTAGCAAAGGAGTTGGTAATTTGTGTTTCATTGATGGGAATATGACAGCTCGAACCTATATTGATGTGTTGCGAGATAATTTGCCACAAAGTGCAATAAAAATTGGGTATCAGTAATTCGTACTATTTTCAGCAAGACAATGATCCCAAGCACACTGCCGGTTATAACACGTATGTGGTTGCTTTATAATGTACCCAGAAAAACTTGCCACTCCACACAATCACCAGACTTAAATCCTTTGGAAAATTTGTGGAATTCTTTGGATTTAAAAAAAAAGAAAAAGGAAGATTTCAAGCAAATCTGCCCTTAAACAAGCCCTTATTGAAGAATGGTCGAATAATGACCCTACTGTTACAGAAAATTTAATTAAATCAATGCCAGCAAGATTACAAGCAGTAATAGATGCTAAAGGAATGCATACTAAATATTAGTTATTTGAAATTTGCTTATATATTTTATTTCTTTTGTATTCATGCAGGTGTGAAAATACTTTTTTTTGATAGATATTTTAATTTTGTTACAAAAAATATTGTTATTTATATTATTATAATTTTGCTGTTTGTTCTGGATGATTAAACTTATTCTGATTTGGCAATACAATTATTTTATTTCTCAAGGCTTCTTTTTATGAATTGAAAACAAAAATGTAGGTGTGCAAATACTTTTTTTACTCACAGTATATACGAGTCAGTTTCTCTTACAAAGCCTTCCAAGACGGCATCCCTCCCCTAGGTTGGTAGTCCTCGAGGCCTTGCCGTAATCACATAAACAAAACCAAAAATCTGATATCCAGTAGTGCTCCTATGCGTGTATCGTTACTTTATCATCTGCATAATAAGTAGCATAAAAGACTTCTAATTTTTCAGTTGCGGTAGAGCATTTCTCAATGTCTATAATGAAGACGAAAATTCACAGTACCTTTCAGGTATCTGAGCCCTTTTTAAATTTTCATAATGTTTCACATTTGGATATCCTACATGTATGCTTCGAAACCTAACAGTAAGAGTTACATATGGTCGAGTTTTGTTGGAAAGATGTAAAAGGTTAGCAATTGCTTCTCTTAAAAAAGAAATTAACATTTCCTTTTCATTAGACGCTACTGATTCTAGTTCTGTTAAGAGTATCTGTTTCTTCATATTCAGACATTTCACATTTCTCGTGAACATTTTGTGAATATCTTGACTATTTCAGTGTTATTCCTTCATCTTTTTTTCATTTCCATTACCAAAAAATTACTTGGATGTTTGGTTTACTTTTACCTGAAGTTCATTTGACATTTCTTCAAAAAATTGCATTTGTTCTGTCTTTTCCAATTAAACAAAATATGTGTAAATCTCTAATAAATCAGACTGGATCGCAGTTAAAGTAATAAACAGAGGAGCGTTCTTCCAGACAACATTTATTCACGAACACCAAAGACGAACTCATACATATACATAATTGACATCACAGTTTCTTTTTACAAACAAACACTACCGCCATCTATTGGCAATCTAAAGATATATAATCCTAAACTTAACACTCCCCCCCATGCATCCGTAACGGATGCATCAATTTTATTGAACTTCAAGATTATAAAGTCTTTCAATTGGTCTTCTAACAACCGATCGTTTCTTTTTCAAATGTTCAAGAACGCCCTCCATTTTCGAAATATTCAGTCTGTCGATTTTCTGGTTCGTAATTCCGGTTTGCAGGCACCATAAACAAAATATGTGTAAATCTCTAATAAATCAGACTGGATCGCAGTTAAAGTAATAAACAGAGGAGCGTTCTTCCACACAACATTTATTCACGAACACCAAAGACGAACTCATACATATACATAATTGACATCACAGTTTCTTTTTACAAACAAACACTACCGCCATCTATTGGCAATCTAAAGATATATAATCCTAAACTTAACACCAATCAAAGTACCATCATCAATAATATTTATAAAATCA